CAGCTCCAGCTTGGTCCTCCTGCCTGTGCCTCACTCCAGCTGAGCCCACATGCCTAACACAGATACTGACAGCTAGTTTTCTGTAAGCCAATCATTTGACAGGCACGTGGACAGGGATGCTGCCTGGGAAATGCATCCTTAGGTGATCTTGTACGAGCATCATGGAGTTCCCCTATACACCTAGGTGGTACAGTCTGCTACACATCTAGGCTGTGTGCTGTAGCCTGTTGCTCTTAGGCTACAAGCCCGTACAGCTTGTTACTGTACTGAATGCTGTAGGCAACTGTAATGTGTTGTGCTACGATGTCACTAGGTCCGTGGCCGGCAAATTGCGGCTCACGAGCCACATGCGGCTCTTTGGCCCCTTGAGTGTGGCTCTTCCACAAAATGCCACGTGCGGGCACGCACATACAGTGCGATTGAAACTTCGTGGCCCATGCGCAGAAGTCGGGTATTTGTGGAAGAGCCACACTCAAGGGGCCAAAGAGCCGCATGTGGCTTGCGAGCCGCAGTTTGCCGAGCCAGTTTGCCGACCACTGCACTAGGTGATGGGAATTTTCCAGCTCCATTCTAATCTAACGGGACCATTGCCATACATGTGGTTCGATATTGATCGAAATATCATATGGTGCATGACTGTACTTAATAAAATCCTCCCAGCAACTCCATGCAACTGGAAACAGTTATTATCTTCATTAAGACATGGGGAAACTGAGGCCCAGCAACGGTGACTCCCGATAAGCACCATGCCCCATTGCTTGGTTCTGAAGGGGACTTAGGTTTTCCTTCTTGCTTCTGTCCTTTGCAAGCACCGTTCCCTCAGTCTGGAAAGCCACCTTCCCTTGATAAACTAATACTCATCCTTCCAGATCTACATCAACATGATGTCCTCGGGAAGCCTCCTCTGAGGCCCTTGCTAGGTTTAGGGCTCTCCCTCTGGGCGCACCTTCTGCTGCAGTATTTACCACATCCCAGCCTCTGAGACAAACAGGTCTGACCAAGCGCTGCTCCCAGGCCCAGCCCCAGGCAGGTATCTGGGAGAGCTGGTTGAGTGATCAGAGAGGGTCTGAGCTGCCCCCTGCCCGCGGTATTAGGCTTTTTGGGATCTTGGGAGAGCAGGACAGAGAGGGCAGCAGTACTTAGCCACCTGTGTTCAGCCACAGACTGGATGGAGGGACAGTAGACTTCCTGTCAGCCACAGGACTCAGACCGTAAGGACTGGGTGGCTTTGGTGGAGTGCTAGGTAGGGGCTCAGACTCTGAGGGCCTGGCTGTTGGCCTGACTGGGCCCAGTTCCTCTGATCTCAGGCACTTGCCTATTGGTCTGATCTGCCTGCATCTTTCCTCCCTGATTGTAGCAAACATTGATATTCACCTGGAATCTGGTCTTTTCAGCAAGCTGTCCCCATCTCCCTCGTTGGTGCCAGGGACACAGAAAGGTCAAATGTGGGTTCTGCCCTTGAGGCCCACCCTGTCAGGAGAGACAGTGCCCCTCTCCTCCAGCCCTGGGAGGAGGGGTTCCGTGTCTTCATGTTCCCCAAGAGTCTGGCCAGTAACAGTGCACCTCCACAGGGTCTTTCAGCCTGGATTCAACCACAGATCTCCCGCTGAAGTCCTGGGGCTTTCGCCTCCCAGAACATGCACCTTGCGGTGGTCTCCTACAATGCCAGGCCTGGGACCCACTGAGAATGAGCCTCTGTGGGTCTTTGATAACTCTTCCCTTCCCCCACCTCTCATATCCATTTAATTAGCTTAGTCCTGTCCGCTTTATCCTTGTCTGTCCAGATTCTGGTCTGTCCACTTCTCCCCACCTCCACCACTGCCTGCCTAGTCCAGCCCCAAATCATTTCAGTACAACAGCCTCCTTGCTGGTCTTCCTGCTTTCGCGTCTGTTCCAGGTCAGCCAGTGGTATCTTTCAGATCAAGTCACTCTCAAAACCCTTAAGGGGCTCACAGCCCCACTCCGGCCTTCCAGGCCCCGTGTGGTTCAGCCCTGGCCAGGCTTGCTGGTCGTGGCTTCCCCCTCTCCCTCAGCCACTCTGGCCACCTTCTGCCAGTGTGCTCTTCCCTCTGCCTGGAATACTTTTCTCTGCCTCTCCCATGGCTAGTTCCTTCTCATCAGCCCACATGCCACCTCCTTGGGGAGACTTTCCTAGACCCCCAACCCAAAGGCACCCCCACAGCCACTTCCACTTTTTCTGTTTTATTTCCTTCCTTTCTGAAATCTTGGTGTTGTTGCTGTGTCTGTCCTGATTGCGGAGGGAGCCCCATGAGAGCAGGGCCCCTGCCTGCCTCACTCACCTCTGTTTCCCCAGCACCCAGATCAGTGCTTGGCACCTAGTAAGCACTCAGTAAATACTTGTTGAGTGCCTGCTATGTGCCAGGCATTGTGCTGAGGGCTTTGGGGGGATCCAGAGGTAAACAGCTCTAACTCTCAAAGAGCTTAGAATCCACAAGGGTCAGAATTATAACCAGAAACACCAGACTCTAGGGTGACCAATGGGGACTGTGCAGAGGTACAGAAGGAAAAGGAAGGCAACCCACATTAGGGGTGTATGTGGGCAGCCACGTGGTAGGACAGAATATGGCATTTCTGGGGGAAGAAAGTGGGGTGACCAGACTGAACAAAAGAAACTGGATGGAGAATGGCTGTGCACAAGCAGGGTAGGGAGTCCTGGCTTCTGACCACAGCTGCTGACCCAGGAGGAAGCCAGGAATTGGCAGGAGGCAAGGCAGCCCAGGAGAAAGAAGTGGAGAGTACTATTTATTGAGCACCTACTATACACCAGCCCTCAGAACAGCATTGTATATGTACCTTTGGGTTTTGCTGTTAGGTAAATTTAGTAGGAGGAGACTAATATTTGAAGGTAGCAACTTGTCCAGGGAGAGCCAGCGCTCAGGCAGAACTAAACCCAGGTCTGATTGGCTCTGGAACCTGTGGTCTTTTCCTTGCTCCTGGTGGGTGAAGCCTTGGGAAGCTGGATGAAGGTGGGGATGGGGTTGTCTGTAGAGAGCCAGGGCCTAGGGAGGCTCTGAGCTGGCCCCTGGCCTCTCCTCAGTCGGTGGCAGCCAGAACCTGCGCTTCTACTGGAAGGAGTTTGTGAACGAGGTGGACGTGCTGGTGTTCATGGTGGACTCGGCTGACCGGCTGCGGCTGCCCTGGGCCCGGCAGGAGCTGCACAGGCTGCTGGACAAGGACCCTGACCTGCCTGTCGTCGTGGTGGCCAACAAGCAGGTGAGGGCCGCAGGAGTCTGGCTCAGGTCAGACTTGATCCACAAGTGGCTGGGCTGGGTGGGCGCACTGGAGAGGGATTCAGGCCCAGGCCCATGACTAGAGCCCTGGCAGAGAGCTGTCCCCCACTCGTCTGCCTCTGCTCCTTCCTCACCCCATATCCCCGTCCTGTCTGCCTTCCCTGCTGCCTCCCTGTCATTTGTCATCCTAGAGGAATGAGAAACTAGATGCCAGGTGTGGCTTTGAATGACATTTTCATATTATGCTTCTACTGACCCTCCAAGGTATGAAATACTAGTCCCATTTTACAGACAGGGCATCTGAGGCTCAGAGAGATTCTGTCATCTCCCCAAGGCTGTTCACACTGAAAATAGTGAAAGTGGGATATCTAACTCCAAAACCTGCGCCTTTTCACTCTGCTATGTCCTTGCGACTTCTGGCTCTGATCAAAGAGCTAAAGCTGGGAAGGGATGGGAGATTAACGAATAAGTCTAATAACGAGCACTTGTGTGCGTGCTTACGGTGCACCAGGCACAGTGCTAAGCACCTGACAACCATGACCTCACATCAGTCCCACAAAACCCCACGACAGGCAAAGCCAGGACTGAACTCAGATCGTCCTCAGAGACCCTGTTAACCACTACACATACCTCTCCCAGGTGCCAGCGTGGTGCCTCGGGCCCAGGCACCCTCGACCTAAAGTGCCATTCTCAGCCAGGTGAAACGGCCACAGTATGGAGTCCTGAAATATCTCCTATGGCCTGTGCCCATGTCCCTGTGTGTCATGGGACGTGTTTCCAACCTGTTTGGAGAGAGGCTTGCGTCTTTGACCTCAGATTCCCCCTGCCTATTGGGAAATACGTGACATTTATAAACAGGTAACTATACATCCTCGTCTGCCTGGGACAATACCCACTTATGCCTGTTATTCTAGTATAATTATTGGTAGTACCCACTTTGAGTCTTAGAAATACCCCAGTTTGGATGATGAATTACATCATCCTCCTACATATAAACTGTAATTTATAGCAATTTTGAACCTACAGGAGACAACACTGAAGGTCCCAGCATTCTATGAATCGCTCCAAGAAAAATCATTTTAATCTTAAGCCAGGCTTGAAATTACAATGTACCCTTAGCAGCCACATTCTGCAGTGGCCTCTGACTTGCCTGGAAGTGAGCCCACTCTAGATCTCTCACTCCTGAGTTTAGGACACAGCTGGAATTCCTGGAAGGGTCCTAAGCTTGGGCATCACACCAACCTGAGTTTGAAATCTGGCTCTGCCAGTTGTTTCCTTGACAATGACTTCACCTTCTCTGAGCCAATTTCCTCATCCGTTGGTTTAAACTGTGAGAATTGAGTAAGACTTGGTGCCTATCACATTGTCTGATGTATAGAAAGTGCTACTTCTAACCACAGTGGTTGATGATGATGAGAGATTAGTACAGAGGAAAGGCAGAGATGAGGAAGAGTTTACCAAGGGGTCCAGAGGCCACTCTGGGAACTTGGGCCCCAGGGTTCCCTGAGGTAGCTCAAGTTTATTTCCTGGAGGACGAGGCTGGGTGTTGGGATACACTGTGGCTGTTTCACCAGGACCTGAGCGAGGCCATGAGCATGGTGGAGCTGCAGCAGGAGCTGGGTCTGCAGGTTGTCGACAGCCAGCGGGAGGTCTTCTTCTTGGGGGCCAGCATCGCCCCTGTGGGACCTGGATCTGAAGACCCTGGCACCGTGCACATCTGGAAACTACTCTTGCAGCTTCTCTCCTAGGCTGGCACCACCTGCTCACCCACCAGCCCTGGGAGCCCAGTTCTGCTGCTCCTGCTCTTCATCACTGGCCTGGGCCTGGGCCTGGGGCAGGAGCTGCGTGGCAGCACGTCCCTTCTCTCCTTGCCTTCATCAGAGCCAAGAACCACGCAGAATCCTTCCTGGTGAGGTGGCCGTGGGGCCGAAGTGGGGTGGGGCAGAGGGTGGGCTCAGTGCTCCCCTTCCTGCAGGTCCTGGTGGTTGAAATAAGTACTCAGTCAGCTGTTCCCTCCTGGCAGTTTCATGTCCCTCCTCACAGACAGGTTCTAGGCAGGACGCAGCGAACCCTGGCTCAGTTCCACATGGTCCTCCAGCCCCAGCTCTGCCCATCTGGCTTGTGGCTTTGACCAGTCTCTTCCCCTCTGGCCCCAGGGCCATCATTTTAATAGGAAGGTGATTTCTGTGTTTTGTGTGGGGTTTTTTTTTTTCAAAGTGAGAGATGCATTTCCCAGCATCGGAGATGTGTGAGGACAAACCTGGAGATCCTAGCAAGGGTCTGCAACCTCCCCACTTCCCCAGGCTGAGGCCCGGCCGCAGCCTCTCATGACTGCAGAGTAAGTGGTGTTCACCCCCAATCAGAAACACTGAATTTCCCCGCGTCTGGAGACAGAAGCTGCTGCTCTTGTGTGAACTATGCCGGCATCGGGTTTCCGTAAGTGGGGGAGACCAGAGTTCCATTCCTGAGAAGACTGAAGACTGTCCACCAGAGCTGGGCCTTGATCTAGAACTGCATTGTGATTATTTATTTATAAAAGGAACAGGCCAAAGATTTAGCCTCTGTTTCTAGGTGCTGCTATCAAAACCCCAGATGACTGTCATGGAAAATCTGGATCTTTGAGGAAAATGGCTGGAATCATTAATGACAGTGATAAGTTATGCAGGTCAAGGAGCCAGGCTGTAGCTCCCCCGCCCTTTGATATAATGATACCAGGAGAGTTCACACTGATCCACATGAACTGTACCTCCATCGGTATGTCAGATCCCTTCTGTGTAGATAGCAGAGGACCCTGGGAAAGGAAATTTCAATCGTGTAAATCCAGGTAAAGAAATGGGATGGAGCGACCAGCCAGTGGGGTAGCCTGGGGCATGTCGCTCAGCCTCCCAGACCTTGGGTGCCCAGCCACAGCAGAGTTGGACGGAATTTCTGGTGTTCTCGCCCGTGCACATTCCACGATTCTCTTTCCAGTGACCAGCCAGTTAGGACCATTTTGTCTCTGCATCGACTTCTCTTTCATGCAGGCAAGAGGAGGCGGCTTTTGTCTGTCAGGGTCACTGAATAACCAGTGGCCACAAATGGACTATTTTTTTTTATCAATTCCGTTTGTTTTTTCATTGAGAACAGAGGTTCCGTGCCTTCCTTTCATTTGTTTACTTTGTGCTCAATCCTTCAGCTGGTGTGAGGAGAGGGGAAGGAGGGAGGCAGAACTGAAGAGTAGCTCGCTCTGCTCTAGGGCTTTGGATTAACTTTCCGCATTAAGAAGGGACTTGTCTGCTTTTATTTTAAACAATTAAGGAGCGGCTTGGATTGTAGCGTAGCCTTTGAAACTTTTCTGACAACTTTTCACTTCTGTGTTCTATGAACCCCACCTGGATCCCAGTGCTTGAAAGTTACCTTTGGAACCAGTGCTGGTGAGGGACCCTTTCTCCTCACTGAGATCTGCCTTTGGTCTACTGAGTATCAGTCCCTCTGTAGTAAGATTTTTAAAGGCCCTAGTAGGGAGAGGTGAACCTGAATAGAGTTCAACTACATGTAGTTGAGGTACTTTTAAAGACCACTGGGAACCGATGGGTCCCAGTGGCATCAGAAGACACTGCAGAGGGGCGCTGGAGGGCCAGCCTGCCACCACTCTGATGCTTGCATGGAACACAGACGTTCTGTTGGCCTATGGGTGAGCCTCAGCACGCCTGTGGCTGACAGCTGTGCTCCTGTTGGGGCTGCTGGGCCATACTTGAGGCAGAGTGCCACCGGGCCCATGTGCTCTGATTTCCAGGACCTGATTGGGCAAAGCAGAACAATAGCCTTTCTTAAGGACAGCTAGCTGCCCGGCCTTGTGACTGATTCAGGAGCCAAATAAGTGCTTTTGGAAACCAGGCATTACTTGGAGCTATTCATCTCAGTGAGGTTCCTGAGCTAGTCTGTGTGACACTGCTCCCACCACTGCCCTGGCTCTACAGCTCCCGACCTGTCTACACATGGGAACAGGTAGGAGGTGTCCGGGCCAACCTGGCCCCAAGCTGGCCCATGTGGATGGTCTGGGCAAGAGGGCTCTTGAGGCTGCCGGGACCACCACCTTGGACGGACTGCCCATCCCAAGAAGCCTCGAGCACCTCTTGGTGCCCACAACTGCCGTTGTAAGCTTGCACTGATGCAGTGGAACCAGCGTAAGACTGGAGAGGGGACGGAGTCGGTCCTCACTGCTCCCCCACCCCAACCCTCCACGGAAGTGCTGATGAAAACCTAACTGGCCTGTCTGCCTGAAGGAAGCGTCAGGTTCTCCATGAAACCTTTCCATTTGCCTTTGAAAAACTTTGTTCTTATGTAGTTTAGTAGCAACTGCCAACATCTCGCACCAGCTGCTGAAGCTCGCCTGTGGTGTGGTCCTCGCACAGCTGCCCGACCTCGGAGCAGGGGCACTGAGCGGTGGGCCTCGTGCTTGCTCTCTGCTCACACGTCCTCAGAGTCCTTTCTAGTAGCTCTGAAAAGGGACCCTCCAACTTCTCATCTGCTGCCTCCAGGAGACGGGGCACTAAGGGACAAGGGGAGGTTTGCCCTCAAAGATCTGGAAGTGAAGGGCCTTGCTGTCCTGTGCCGTGCGCCCAGGCCCACAGGCCACCAAGGGCGGACAGCAGAAGTGCTAGTGCTGGCGGTGTCTGAGGTACTACACAATAAATGCCAAAAACGGTGTGGTTTCATTGGAATTCTGGTTTTGAGGACTGTTGGGTGCTTACAGTCTCAGGGAGGGACAGCTGTAGAGGGTGGTTCCAGAACACTTGCTGTGATAGTTTGTCAACAAGTCCCAGTCCCTGGGCTCGACAGCCCACATCAGTGGGTGGTAAGGAGCATCAGCGTTACTCTGGAGAGTATCCAAACCTTTCCCCCACTCCTGGCTCTGGGATGTCAGCCAGGCATGGAAATGGGAACAAAGATACCTGACAGCCTGTGCCTAAAGTCAGAATGGAGGCCCCTGCACTCTAGTAGGGGACTGGGGGACATCAGGCAGATTAAAAGGCAGCTATGCCGGTATGATTGCTAACAGGAAGTCTGGGCATGGGGACTATAGGACACCTACCCAGCCCGGGGGGTAGGGGATGATAATAGGGAAGGCCTCCTAAAATTGGCACCTGAACTGTAAAGAAACAAGGTCAGGGTCAGGCTAGTCTAAGGCCTGAACTGGGGATGCTGTGAAGGACTAAAGTTATGAGGTCAAATAACGAAGGCCCTCGAGCTCTGCCACAGACTAGATCAGTGGTTCTCAACCTGTGGGTCGCAAAGCCTTTGGCGGTCAAACGACTCTTTCACAGGGGTCGCCTAAGACCAGCCTGCATATCGGATATTTACATGACGATTCATAACAGTAGCAACATTACAGTTATGAAGTAGCAACGAAAATAATTTTATGGTTGGGTCACAACATGAGGAACTGTATTTAAAGGGCCAGAAGGTTGAGAACCGCTGGACTAGATCCTAAATGCCACACCTGCCGTGCCTCGTGGCCAGTCACTGCTGGAGTCTATGTGGCCTGAAGGTGGGTTGGGGGCTGCCTTCAGAGGCCAAGGGGGAGAAGCAAGCGAAAGCCGAGGCTCAGCAGTTGTAAAGACTTCGACCCCCCACCCCTAATGTCCATCAAGCCCCAGTTTCCTTACATGTACGATGAAGATAAAACCACACATCTCACAGTTTCATGTGAAATAATGTAAAAACCTTCTTTCCCAGAGCAGCAAGAAGAGACATTTTAGGGGCTTGTAGGAGAAACAGGAGAATTTTTCTATGGTTCATAGCTGAAGACAGACAAGAAAATGCCCAGCGCCCAACCACACCCTGCCTGTGGTCCTGCTATGGAGCGGGGACACTCCTCATGCCGCCCAAACCAGGCAGGCCTGGCCCCGAGAATGGGGTTTGGCCAGCCTCTGTAGCCACACTCCCCTCCTTGCCTTAAACCCTGGCCCCAGCTTCTCGGGTCCAGGAGGAGGCTTCAGCCTGGGGCAGGCGTACACCAGTCACGCAACCTCCATCGCATTCTTCTGCAAAGAATGAGCGAAGGCTTCCCACTCCGCTGGGTAAAAGCGCTTATAGACGTTAATCTTATTCCGAATCTGTTTCGGGGTATCTTGATAATAATTCTTCTCATCCCGGGCCATAGCCTAAGAAGGGAGAAAGGCTACTTGAGGGACGGATAGGCAAAGGTTCAAACCCTAGCTCTGCTGGAGGTGGGCTACCACTTCCTGTCCCGGAGGTTCAGCTTCCTCACCTCAGAAGCCATGGTGTATGTGGGGAAATGGAGGCAGATGCCACAGGGGCCAGCTGAGCAGCTCATGCTCCATCCACAGACAACTAATCTCACTGGCATGGGAGGGAGGGGGGGAGGCCAGTGTAGCCCGATCTTTCCATGTTTAACAGAAGCTAAAAATATGGACTTATTTTTAAAACCTCCCATAACTAAAACAGCAAGTAGTTCAAGTTCTTCCTAAGTCCCATGCAAACAAACCAACATATCTGGGACAGCCACTCAGTCTGTCTCAGCTATTAGCACTGTCAGTAGGATCCACTGCCAGAGCCTGTCTTCCCTATTTCCAAGCAGGAAAAGGCCCTAAGCAAGCAGATCAGACCACAAATGGTCTGCGGTATCTTCCCAATGGGCCCAAGTGGTGCTCTCGCCGGGCCTGAGCCACTCACCTTGTAGTCCTCCCCATGGTTCTCCACCATGTAGCGTACGTAGTCTATGAGGTCCCGAGACAGCGTATTTCCTTTCTTTTCCGGGAGGCTGGCTTCTGCCTCGAGGTCTGGGGTGAGAAGCCAAGAGACAGGGAATGAGGTGTTGCTCCCTGCACAGGACAGGGCTCCCTGCCGGCTCTAAACACTCTAACACTCTTTCCTGGAAGTGTTACAATAACACATGAAATGGAAAGGTCCGAACAAATGAGAACTAGGGTCTAAGGCTGGGCCCAGGCACCTCTGTTCCACCGGAGAGAAAAAAGCCAAGCTGTGGAGCCAATAATGGCTTTGCTTTTAAACTAGCTAGGCAAATACTCCCTATTTCTCATCTACGAAGGAAGGAAAATACTCACTGAAACCAGGTGGTCAAATCTTACCCAGAGTTAAGTGCTAAAACTGCTTATAGTAAAAAATTTTACCGTAATAAGTACACGATTTTATATATGCAATCCAATACAGTACTTATGAGAATCACTGAGAAAAACTAAAGATAGGACCTCAAGGAATTCTATATCAAATGTCTGGCCAGTCAAATCCTACAGTCACAACTATTAAAAGCCTCAGACAGGTAAGCCCTGGCCAGTGTGGCTCAGTGGTTGAAGGTATGATTCCTGGTCAAGAGCAAGTCCCAGGGTTGCGGGGTTCACTCCTGGCCCCAGTCGGTGTGTGTGCAGGAGGAAACCAGTCAATATGTCTCTCTCACATTGATGTTTCCCCCTCTCTGCTTCTCCCTTGCCCTCCCTCCCACTCTCAATGGAAAAAATATCGAGTGAGGATTAACAAAAAAACCAAAAAAATCTCAGACAAGTAATAGGAAGGGTGGGTAGAGAATTCCAGAGTATTCTGTCTTCCCTGCAGAATTTATTTTCTATTTTAATATTCAGTTTCTGTGGCCTTTATGGACATGAAATTGATTGGTCATTGGGAAGATTAAACAAGAGGGTGAAATCTCTAAAAATCTGTTCATCCTTAAATTCAGGAGAAGCTGAAATACAAGCCTGAGACTTAATGGGTTTCTTTTCTAACCTCTCGGGCACCTGGCTCATCCTCCCTGAACAGCTCTGACCTCACTTCACACACCTGAGTTTAGCCAGTAGACTGCATGTGCCAGCCGGAGACACAGCCCTAACGGTGTGAGCCCTGGACCAGCTTTTCTTCCCTCTGGTCCTGGCTTCTCTACCTGCCCTTCCAGCCCTGACTATGCTGGATGGTGACCCGAGGAATGTGGCCAGCACCCACCATTCAGCACATAGGGCTTCCGTACGAGCTGCCGTCTCTCGTCTACGTCCACCTCCATGGCCTGGACCTGCAGAGAACAGAGCCAGTGAGACCAGCAGATGAAGGAAGGATCCTGGGTGAGAGAAACTTCTAGAGGCGCTTGCCCATCCCAGCGCCACTGCATGACCCCTAAGAATCCCTGCACAAGGTCAGGCAGGAACAGATGACAAGGAGAACCAATACCCTGGAGGTTTCATGATTCTCAGAGACTCGAGCAAGCAATTCATCTTTCTGCGCCCGTGAAATGGGCATAGTAAGCCTTGTCTGCCCACTTTGTTGGATGACAATCCAATGAACCACCACAATGAGGGGAGCCACCTGACAGCGCTGGGCTGCAGCCTCACGTCTGTTCAAGAAACAGCAGCGCCAGTTCCCTCGTAGGAAGGGATACAAAGAAACTTGCCTAAAGGCAACGGGGCCAAGTCAATCAGTAAATCCTTTTATTAGGTTAACTACTTATTGGATTTTGTTGGGGGAAGGAGATAAATATACAATACACCACGTGCTATGAATTAAAATAACGCGGGACAAAGTCAAAAATAAATAAGTAAATAAATAAAATAACGCGGGACAGAAGTTCCTGAGTGGGAGAGGTGCTGTTTCTTAAAGGGGTGGCCCAGGAAACCCTTCCTCGGGAGAAATTGGTCCTAGGAGACGCCTCAGGCCAAGGATAATTGGAGGACTTGGGGGAAGAAGATGTAAGGGAAATAAGGGGCAGGAAAAGATAAATTCGGGAAAATACCATTGAGATGCCAAGGGACACAAGTTAATTTCAGAGGGAAAAAAAAAATAAGTGCAGAAGCTCCAACCCGGGCCCAGTGTGTGCTGGGGGGAGGGAGAGGGAGGGAGGAAAGGGTCCCGCGGCCGGTCGGTGAAGGCGCCGAGGGCTGTGGGGTCGCAACCCCGGGCAGGACGCGAGGGAGGCGACGGGCGGGCGTTCGGAACCCGGCTAGTTACGGCGGGGCGGGGCGGGGCGGGGGCCAAGCCAGTACCTTTCTCTTACGGAGGGGCACCGCCTTGTTGGGGTCCATAGCCAAGCCCATCTCGGCCAGGTTCTGCCGCACGGACTTGGTGTGGTCCCAGGCATGTCGGATGTGGGAGCTGCGGGAAAAGAGGGAGAGCGCGGAACTGTCAGCTCGCCGGCCGTGCCCGCCAGGCCCGCGGCCTCCTGAACCCGGGCCCCTCACCACTCGATCCGCGGGGCTGCCTTCCGTCGAGCACTCCGGTTCAGACGCTTCCGGTTAACACTGTAACCGAACTTCTGCCGCCGGGTCTTCCCCTTGGCCTTGGGCATCACGCCGACCACCGCACAGGCAATTCAGACCCGGCGCCTCTCACTTCCAGAACCTCGTGTCGTGTAGTGGACGCCTTCCGGAAGCTGCGCGCACGGCGTGGCAGGCTTTTTGGGAAATGTAGTCCTCCCCGGAGCGACACAGTGCTCTTACTACAACTCCCAGAATGCAATGAGAAGTTGCGCATGCGTACACTATTCAACAAATCCCCCCGCCCCTTTCATGACCAGGAGGCGGGGCTTAACGTCCAGTTTTCTCTTCTCGCTGTTGCCTGGGACACCGCGTCTCCTGGCCACGTGACTCCCGAGGCATCCTTGGAACCATCGCAGCGCCCCACCTAGCACCTTAGCCTCTAATTCTCCAGTCTGCAGTGTTCTTTCCTACGTGTCCCGAAGCTGGCTCCTCCCGCCTGGCAGGCCGTGCTTGACCTCAATTGTATGACCCCCTCCCTCTGGGCCCCATCCCTTGCCCAGGTCCAGAGTAAAGTCGAGCTGGACCCACGACCCAGCTGGTGTCCAGTCTTTAAGGCCAGCCAGGCCTGGCCACCCTCTAGGAGGAAAGACACGCTCTGCTTGGTTATGGCAGATGGGAGCGCCTGCTTAGGACAAGGAATGTCCAGGGAGCAGTCTGGTCACTCCTCATCACCATTGTCTGATCCTTGCACGGCCCTCCGTGACAGCGACGTCACCGGGGGCCAGGTTTGAGCACAAGCACCATTTTAAGCAGGCGCAGAGAGGGTAAACTGAGGAATAACGTCATTCCCTGAGCAGGGACCCTGTGCTCAAGCCCCTCTCTCTGGAGGGGGTGTTCAAGGCCCGTTGCCCAGAGCCTGGCATACGGTAGGCTCTCAACGTTTCTCGAATGAAGAACCGCATCTCGAAGTCGTGTGCGTCACAAGCGGAGCAGGCACCGGGAGAAGAACCCAAAGGGGCCTGCTCCGGGCTCTGCAGCGGTGCGTGCGTCCCCCGGGACGCTGAGTCAGAGCGGGCACGCGCAGACCCGGGAGGGGAGGGGGCGCAGACCGGAGGCGCGCGTTCTGGGGAGCGGAGGGGAGCATCGTGGGGAGAGAGGTGCGACGAGGGAGGGGGATGCGGAGGGGCCTGAGCAGCTGACGTGGG